TGGCGGGCTAATCGGCTCATGAACAATCTCAAGTCAGATAGCCCACGTCCCGTGCGCGTGCGGTCATTTTCTTTTGAACCTCCTGAGAATGGCTGGATCGGCTTCATGCTCATTCCGGGGGCGAATCTCGCGGTGTCTCACACTTGTGGGACCGTCAGTTGCTGGGACATCATAACCTCCAAACGTGTGGCGAGCCTCGAAGTGCCTCACCTTCGGGTTGAAACGGGGGTATGCGTGGAAATTGTGGGGAAAGCGTTGATTGGAGCGAGCGTCGGGTGGTACGTTTGCGCAAAATATTCAGATTCTCGCCTAGATCAATGTTATAGGGATATTGAACATCTGGCGGTCATCACCATCGAATATAGTACCCGTGCCCGCATATCGATTTCCCATGTAATCTCTCCGGCGATGGATCAACCCGTCCAGGTTGAACTCCACAGTCGTTTCTTTTTGGCCCCTTGGATTATGCACCCAGACACTCCGGTGCAGACAAATTCACCAGACTTTCGGCTGTATTGGGTCCGCGCCTTTCAATGATCTCTTGTCTCTCTCACTGAACTTCATGTGCATTACCAGCATGACGGCGATACGCACCCCGACTACTTGCCTCATGGAGGACGATTATACGCATTTCATCGGGGTTGCCTTTTTACAGAGGGCATGGTACAATCCCTCCCCTTTTTTTGTGGTTCCGACCAACAATCCGATCCTCTGCGGCCGTCACCCACCGTCGCGATCGAATTACCTCTCCCGTTCCCGGAGGCATCCAGTTTAAGGGAACTTCGGCAACTCGGAGATATAGGCGAAATGGCTTTGGAGAAACCCTACTTGTTCGGGGCCGACTATGGTGTTTTCGCGGTAACGAGCCGACATTTTCAATGGGAGGGCCGCAAGAGATCAATACTGCACTTTTGGCCAGGACGTGAAGCGCAGGGAGGACAGCTCGACATAGAGCACGCTCATTTCTTCCACAGCAGGGATCCGATCCATCGAACGGCAGTCGGTTCTTCGGGGACGTACGTCTTAATCCTCGTCCAGAGCGAGAAGCACTACAGCGGACAGGGAGATGGCTACCTTGGATTGGTGCATTTCAGTTTGACTCCAACTCCGCACGCGACGTTCCGGAAATTGGACATCGGCGAGGTGTCACCTCTCTCCTACGACCAGATACATTTAGATGAATCTTTAGGTGTGGTTTTGCTTGCTGATGCTGGCGGGACAGTGACCTGTATTTCATATGTTTAATCAGAATTGGTTGTGCCTTAGTATGTTTCTTTCTCTTATTTTTCTTTTTCCTATCTTACTACCAATCTTCTGTGTATTTTTGTTTTGTTCATGGTCTCATAGATACCATGGGAGGGCGTATGTAGGGATTCCCGTTCCGTGTCACTTGTCGCATCACGCACTCTCTACGTACTGTACTATTATATTCAATTCGTCAGTCACGCGTCACGCACGCCCTTGACGTGACGAATTTTGGAATGTGGTAACGCGTCACGGAGCCTCTTGACGAATACATTTTTCGTCACGCTTGGTCCAAATTTTGGTTGAAATCGTGGAAAATGCGGTTTTTTCGGTGCTGCAAGTTCTCAACCTTAATGGGAAGTATATCGAAATTGTTCGCAACTAGACGGCCACAGAGGTACACATAATAAATAAAATCTGCCCCCCGGCGGATTTGGGACTACTCGTCATTACAAAAAGTAACCGGCCATTTGGTCACACGGGCACATAGCCCGGTTTTTGCCCATTCCTTTGGACAGGTTCTTAATCTATAGTTAATTAGGCACTGAATATGACAATTGAACTTGACGTATGAGGACTCACACTTAGCATACAATTAAAGTACCACTATTTGACCAGTCCCCTCACCTCAACAGTGACAAAATAAATCAACAGGTGAGTGTAGTATAGGACGCTCAGCGCTATGAGCGGTCTGATGAAAATGCGCAACAGTGCATAAACAACGACGCAGACGAAAACCAAATAGATGAGTGCAACGGCGAGGTACGGGTGATACCAGCGGAGATCAGGGGCCGACTGGAGCACGGGCGCTGGTGGAGCAGGCCATTGTGGGAACGAAGAATAATTCCTCGAGGCAAATCCCGAGTCTGAGGCATTGTTTGGGGGCTATGAGGAGCAGGAGCGGACATAAGCTTGCGTAAGCGACACCAACTGTGCAGTCTGCAAATTGACATACGGGGCTTGCGATCGCCGTACCGCCATTGGGTGGGCGGCGAGGCTGCATGAATAGAGAAGGTGAGGATCAAGAGACCACTTCGATTATTTATGAATCGGCACTTCGGGAGAGGAATGAAAATTGCTCTGTTTGCTTGCCAAACATTGGCACGCCAATCATTATCTGTCTATCTCAAACCTCGGGAACTCCGTCCCGGAAGACTTCTCTGTTTTGCCACCTGTAGCCCAGCCACAAAGTTTCGTTTTGACAGGGCAATTCTTTCTGCTACCGTTGCACAATTGGTGCGGTGTGTCGTAGGCGAGTCTGCACTCGATGTCGATGAGGTAGCGGCCGTGCCCGATGGTAGTATCGACAGAACACTAGACCCCGTAGTATGTGTGGCACGTATGCCGCATGCGGAATGCCTGTATCAGACTTTTGACATTCTAGTTGTCGTGTTGTACAACACGTGAAATCGCCAAAAAACGCCAAAAAACAGCCGAAAAACGCGACAATACTCTGCGCTGACGCCATTTTTACAAATCTTGACACCATGACAACGCGGACCCAAAATCACCACCCACGGCACCGACGAATCAAAATTTTCCAAGGTTGAGATGTAACTACTATCTTACACCAATTACCCACCCTTTCCATAATTCGTCAGCGGGCTCCAGCGCCTGCGCAAAAACGATGTTTTTTGATCACAACACGGAAACACCAAAAACACGTGAAACATCACAATCAAAATGTCAATTGGCTGATGTGTACAACTTGCACGAGGAAGGTATATGGTTCGATGGCACAGATTGGAATAAACAACGAGAAGCCTTACGCGTAGCGGCGGGCATAGGCCTAAGCGATCCAAAGCGGCGACATACTCTCGGGTTGAGGAAAAGTGACCTCTTGCTTTCACTCCTCCCTCTTAATACACCGCGTCGGCTTCGGCAGATTCCGTACGTGCCGGAAACAATCACACACCTGCCTCCCAGTAGCTTGGATGTTCTGGGAGCCGTGCGTTTCTTCCTTTCCTCGACGGACTTCTGCTGATGCATACTCTTTTAGTTGTGGCGGGAGGCATGCACGCTGCTGTACCATTGCCTCTGCTCTATCTGCAGACGGGCGGTCGCAACTGCGGGGCCTGGAACGCAGTCGGTATCTGTATCTCCATCTTTTTTTCGAGGTTTCTGAAATCGTCACTGCGGAGATGGGGGAGCCATTGGTGGAGATCCTGTCCGTCAAGTGTTTGCCGCAGTATGCTGCCATCCAAACAGCCGACAGACTTTTCGACCCCTTGAATGAGGTTTGTACTTCGGATTCGTTCAAAGAACATGTGATTTTGTTGTACAAATCTTTTCCCCGCCGCCTTCAGAAATTGTAGGAGAACAACTTCATGTGGATTGACTACTAGCTACCTGACATGTATATCTACTTATCATCACCGAAAGTAACCGGAAATTCGCTTATTACCGCCAAATTTGTGGAATGTTCTTGATCTGATTGCCTAGAGAGGTTCATCTGGATATATTCTTGCCCTCCAGAATGAATTCGGTATCAAAAATTATGTGCACACTTTGTGTAGATCAATTGTTTCAAGCCCTGTTCATTTTCACTATGTGTGTCAGGAATTGAGATGTATGGCTTCGTCTGTAAGCAAGCATGGGAACCTTTCGTATGACCCTTTTTTGACGCTGTGACCTACAAAAATTTTCGTACGATTTGAGGCTTGTGACCTGGTATAGTGTGTATTCTGTGAGAATGTTTACCCCCCTATGAGACCCATACTCAACACAAAGCAAGGATGATTTAATCTGCGCAAAAATTCAATCTAGAGTTCCTGAATTTTGCATTTTTGAGCCTATTTCAGCCATAAAATCTCAATGGCACTTTTTTTTATTTTATTTTATTTTAAATCCTTGTTTATTCTCCTTTGTGCCGAGGGCATATGGTAGAGATACAAACTTGTCTTCCTCTATCTATCAGGTAATCATATCTGGTCTTTTAATCTCCTACTCGAACACATGACATGGTGATGGAACCCAGTCCTGTGGCACAGCCACAACGTTAACATCCGGGGAACTCCCGAGAATGTTGTAATCATCCCGTCAGTCTTGACATTCCGGCCCGACTTCCATCCCTAGACCCAGCCAACCAGCAGCCCCTACCCCAGTCCCTTCTGATCCTATTTCGAACCCAGGCTGATGAAATTCCCATTCTCGGCACAGTGCAGTGATTTTCCAGCTCCTTTGTTGGCCCCCATCAAAATCCCAGGCAACCTCACTGGGATAAACAACTGCCGGGCTCAACCCACCCGGCACGTTTGAGTATGAACGCAGTACTGCGGAGTGTGAATGTGCTGGCCGCCGGGTTGTTCCGGCTGTTGTTGCGGAGATAAGGAGAAGTTGCCGATGGCGTGGGAGAATGGATAGCGGGATCCGCGGGATGATCCGAAAGAAGGGCACAACAAGGCCAAGCCGGGAATCGGCAAGTGGAGAAGCCGGAGAGTGTCAAAATGTTAATCTCTCCCGCGCGTGGGGGGGGTTCGAACCTGCTCCAAGATCCCGCAAGTCAGGTGGTGTGTTGAAACACCGCACGATAGAGTGGCACTACACCATCGTGCCCCCCTCAATGGCACTGTGACCAGTGGTTCAGTTCAGTGGGCTATATTATTTCTCACCTGAAAACTTGGTCAGAAACAGTACAGTAGTGCAATCACACATACTCTCTACAACATGCACAACATGAAACGGACTTGGAGATATTTGCCTTTTTCCCTTCCAGGGTGCTTGATATGTACAAAATGTGAAGGTGCATTAGCATAGCTTGCTTGGTGTAGCGGTTATACCTTATGATTTTTCTGTAATGATTATCATAATGTTCCTTGTTCAAATCCGGTTGCAGCCACTTTTTATGATTCAGTTTTATCAGATTTAATCTTCTAAGTCTAAGATTAATCTTGGAGCCCCGTTTGGGTAGCTGAGAAGTTCATAGCAATTTGTGTAGAAAATTAATTTTCATGATGTACAATTTCATGGAAAAATTTAATCACATCTACTGATATCACTGGATACTTTGTCAATTTAGTGTACATATAAGGTCCCAAACATCAAACCAAGCTCCACAAGCCTCCAGAAGGCGATTCATCGCTTCCCAAAAAGGAATTTCCTCTTTTGGGAGGGGGGGAGAAAATGCCTTATGGAAAGTCAACCAGTAGGACAGGGCACACAGATAATCCAACGCATTGAGTGGAGTTTGAATTGCCCCGCTTACCTTGATGTACTTGTCCTGTGGTTTTCTGCCCTGATTTTGCCCCCGGAGTTTGTGCATGATGGTTCTATATGCTTTGAAGTGTATCGTCCAGGTCCCATAATCAAAACCACAGTGTCCACCAACTTGGTAGGCTGGAGTTTATGCATTTTTACCCATAACACATAATGCATAGGATTTTGGAGCAAAATTGCACTTTTTTTGTCTTGTTTCATGCATTTGGAGGACAAAAATGGTTCTGTGGTGGTATTTCCCTCAGAAAAATCTTGAATGGACCCTCCAGTGCATATTTAGGGCGAAATCACCAGACACTACTATTATGTAACTATCACCAACCTCTATTGGAGATGCTTGAGAAAGACCATGAAACAACAAACAACAATACAGACACCCTCTTATTGTTACTGGGACCAGAAATCCTGTGTTTCCGGTGAGAATTGGCAGAATTGTGACGACGACATTGTGACATTTGTCACCTATGTCACACCGCGGGAATAACCTTGCAATGCATATGGCTCATAATGCATAGGGTTTGGCAGTCCACCGACATATGTGTTATGAGCCAGTCAACTGTATATACCCTAAGCTGTGTTCAGGACGTTTCCATCCCCTCTGGCTCTTCATCCTGTACCCCGATGCAAAGTCGAGGCAATCTCGCCCGCGCATGAACCATTTCCTCGTCACTACTCTCATCTGCCTCGTACGTGACACGCTTAATAGGGCTAATATCCGACTTCTTCATCCCGAAAGGTTTCGAAGACCCGCTGCGGTTATGCATTTTAGTGTAAGCCTCCTGCAAGTCGAATTTCAATCAGACCGTCCTCTTTGACCTGCAAATGAAACCGTCTCTTGGCCCCTCTTGGCGCCGGGTGGCCGCCGTGTGCAACATCTACTCTTCTTTCGCTGGGGTGACAGCGATAGCGTGGCTTTTTGAGTCGTGGCAGAGGAAGTAGCAGTGCTTTTGGCCTAAGCCCCATCGCGAGGGGCCGACGACCAGCGGCAAACGGAGGCATGTCTTGTTGTATGTACTACTTTCTAACGCAACATCGGTCCTTAGTTTCTATTTCTATCCTGTGCGCCAGAGCGAAGCGATGGCACATCTTGTGTCATTTATATTGATGTTGCTGGTAATGCAGTTCTGCGCTCCCAACGAGCAAGGTTTTGAAAGGACACGATATCCAATCGGGGTTTGAGTATCTGTGGTGGTGGCCGGTGTTTTCATCGAGCACGCACGATTCTGACAGTACGGTCCATGACTGTTATCATTGCAGAAAATGGGCGTGTACGCACATTATTGATGGAAGCCTGGGCCTTCACAATCTCCCGATGCACTTTATCCGCGAGAGAGGGGCTAGGAGGCCCGCCCATGGCGCACATCCCGTCGGGGAACAGCTGCGAAAACTGACGGTTGGAAAGCGCGATGGCCAGCTCCGCGACAGTGTCACCATTGACGTTAACCGTCCTTCTGCATGCACCCTCCACAAACAGAGTGCAATGGGTCCAGTGAGCGTGGGCCGGTTCGTTAGCAATGGACCGCAAATGTGGTTCCGGTGTCCCAGGTTCGAAGACCATTGCTTTGTCGCATTGAATAATCGTGTTATCATGATCCGCTGCGGCATCGCTGTTGGACGCTGTGTATCGGGTAGACGCTGTGTGCCGGGTACCAGGGTATCCGACTTCGCCATCGTTGATTCTCCGAATTGTGTCCTCAAGAGAAAGGTACGCAGACGGAGCGTTGCAGGGGCCACTAGCATCCTGTAGCATCGCGCTCGCTGGGATGGTGGTTTTAGGGTGGAATTGCGCAAGCGCGTGGGTCCAGCCTGGCTTTCCAATGCGATCATTTCGGAAAGACTAAATGGCGGGATGCCGTGCGGCCGAAAAACTAGCAATCAAGCTCAAGAGGTGAGTGATCGGAAGATCTTGGCATTTGATCTGGCCACGCGAGGTGGCACGGATCATCGGCATCAAATGTTGGCAGCATCAACGGCTCGTTCGGCATACTTACTCTGGCAAGCTTTACTCGTGAAATAAGTACACATTCTTTGCCGTTTCAACATAGCTACACTATATTCAATATATATCAAGTGAAGACATCCGAAGATGATTGTTGGCCCGATTCTAACCGGAGTGATGCATTTATTACCGCCCCAATGAGATGTCATGGACAATAGACCCGTTTTGAATGCATGTTTGATCCACCTGGAGCATCGCGGGCATTGGACTTCCCGGGTGCCTATCCTGCGGTCACCTCTTTCAAGAAATTGTTGCTGACTTTCATTATTTTCAGCAGTGGTAACCACGTTTGTAGTCCAAGATGTATGTGCATTATTTACAGGCACAGAGCTCCACACTGTTTGCAGAGTGTTGGGTGGTGGCTACGCGAGAGTGAGATGTGTAGACGCGACACGACGCGATGCGCGTCGCACTTCTGATTCTGAGGCGAAGTGGCAGGCGAAAAAATGATGTATTGATGGCCTTGGATACGCTATTTGCCCTGCCAAATACTTTCCTTATTTGGGGGTAGGTAGGGTCGTGGGATTATTTGCCAAGATCTGCCGATCAAGCACCTCTTGATCAAGCTTACGGACTTAAGAACGAGGCCTGAGGGGAAGAGAAGAGACACTTGACGTGCTTTAGTGGCCACTACTTTGTTACAACCGTTACTAGTCACGCAAAAAATAGATATTTCTTATCCCTCCAGTAGAAGTGCTCCTTTCAATGAGAAATTGGGGGTGTTGTTCTTTTTGGGGTCGGTCAAATTGGGACTGTACACTCAACTGCTTTCTGTACCACCCAAATAACCTTGTTAGGCTGTATTGTTTGAACTCAAGTTTGCCAATCGAAAAGTTGCGGAAGAAGTCGAACACGTGATAAATTCGCTTACGGGGGTGGGAGTGGATTGAGCTCCAAAAATTAAAAACCGACACCGGTTCTCTGATTCACAAAATGGTACCCCCCTGCTCTGGGCTGAATTAAACCGTTCAATAGTGAGGCACAGGGTTCAAAATGCCATTACGAAGCATGTGATTCAAAATGGCATTCCGAGCCATGTGATTCAAAATGCGAATTAAACCATTCAATAGAGTTCAAAATGGCATTACAAAGCATGTGATTCAAAATGTCATTTTGAGGCATGTGGTTCAAAATGTGAATTAAACCATTCAATAGAGTTCAAAATGGCATTACAAAGCATGTGATTCAAAATGTCATTTTGAGGCATGTGGTTCAAAATGTGAATTAAACCATTCAATTGTGTTCAAAATGCCATTACGAAGCATGTGATTCAAAATGGCATTTTGGGGCATGTGGTTCAAAATGTGAATTAAACCATTCAATAGTGTTCAAAATGGCATTCCGAAGCATGTGATTCAAAATGTTATTTCGGGGCGTGTGGTTCAAAATGCGAATTAAACCATCCAATCGACGCTTGACTCAGCAATGTCATATTAGCCAGAAGAGGGGCCTCGGCTGAGAAACCGCGGCCCTGAGTGGATTTTTCAAGTCAACACGCTACAGGAAAAGCTAAGTAGAGTAATAAGGGTACGTGGTGGGTGGGTGAGAGAAAGATTGACTCGGGCTCTGGGAACCCGCAAGAAGAGTGAGATAATGGCGCTTTGTAATACAAATGATGCTCACCTGGGAGACAGCGAGAATAGATAAGAAATATAGACTGAATTGCACAGTACTTATATATGTCTCCGCTGTCTCCCGGTACCCGACAGAACCCACAGCCACCGGGTGGGTGAAGGATTCAAGCTCCGGCAAGCTAATGCCTCATTAGCGACTCAAACCCCGGCGGGTGAATGCACTGGAAGAAGCTGAGGATTCAAACCCCGGCGGGCGAATGCACTAGAAGGGGATGGATTCAACCTTGAGAAGGAATGCCTGAGGATTCAAGCTCCGGCGAGCAAATGCCTCGAGTGAATCCCTGGCGGGCGAATCCATGAAGAGGAGTTATTTCCACAAAAGAGTCTTGCCGCACGATTGAACTTGTATAACCACTCTTAAACCTGATCAATAGTGTTCAAAATGGCATTATGAAGCATGTGATTCAAAATGGCATTTTGGGGCGTGTGGTTCAAAATGCAAATTAAACCATTCAATAGTGTTCAAAATTACAAAGCATGTGATTCAAAATGGCATTTTGAGGCATGTGGTTCAAAATGCGAATTAAACCATTCAATTGTGTTCAAAATGGCATTACGAAGCATATGATTCAAAATGGCATTCTGAGGCATGTGGTTCAAAATGGCATTCCGAGGCATGTGGTTCAAAATGCGAATTAAACCATCCAATTGTGTTCAAAATGGCATTACAAAGCATGTGATTCAAAATGGCATTTCGGGGCGTGTGGTTCAAAATGCGAATTAAACCATTCAATAGTGTTCAAAATGGCATTACGAAGCATGTGATTCAAAATGGCATTTTGGGGCGTGTGGTTCAAAATGCGAATTTGAAAGCAATGATACTCAGTCGCGCACGCGATAGGGTGAACGGCTGTATTATATACCTGAAAGCAATGATACTACGATACGATAAGTATGAATAATAAATAGGTAAGAGAACGAGACAGACCTCAGTCGGGGACACGATAGAGTGAACGGCTGAGGTCTGACTTGCGGAAAGACAAGCTTAAA